TTTTTTTGACCGTCTCGACGAGAGGAACGCAATGGTGAAGTCCGTTCCACATTTTGACAACTTCACAAAATGGACAATTTTGGTTGTCAACATATGCCCCCTGTTTTCAGGTGAATGATGAATAAACCTGAAAACACTTAATCAAACAAAACAAAGCCAAGAAGCGACAATACCCATCTCATCGCCTGCTCAATGACTAAGGGCGATGCATACATCGGGCATTTTTGTTCTAAGGGCGATACATGTATCAGCCATTGTTCAGAGAGCACTTATGCTTCTTGCCAAACACTTGGAAAGTACATTTTCAAATACCTCTCGTTTATTGCTCTTGTGAGACGTTCCCCTTGTAATGACTCTAGCAAATAAGAATTACCAAATATGACTTTGATCACTTTGTAAGGACCCTCCCAATTTGGTGACCACTTGCCAAACTGATTGCTCTTCAATCCAATTGGTAGTATGGTTTTCCATACTAATTCTCCCACTTGGAAGGATTTGCTCTTGACTTTCTTGTTGTATGCTTTGGCAACTCAAGCTTTATCTTTCTCTATTTCCTTGAGAGCTTTTAATCTCATATCAATCACCTCATCGATGTTATCCATCATCAAATTATGATACACAACAGCTGATAGATCATTTTGTTTAGCAGGCCTATATGCATCCAAATTCACCTCGACAGGCAACACGGCCTCTTGACCATATACTAACTCAAAAGGAGTAACCTCGTAGCACCATGCCTTGAAATGTGATGTGCTCATAGAGCCTCAGACAAAACTTCATGCCACCTCCTTGGATTCTCCTCAAACTTCTTTTTGATGAGCTTGATCCAAAGTCTTATTACTAGACTCAGCTTGGCCATTGGCTTGAGCATAGTATGAAGATAAATTAAGCAACTTGATCATATATAATTCGATAAATTCCCTCACCTCTTTGGACACAAACGAGGTCCCTTGATCTATAGTTAACGTTTGAGGGATGCCGAATCTATGAATAATATGTTCAGTGATGAACTCAATTACCTCCTTATGAGTCATATTCTTTAAAGGAACTGCTTCGGTCCACTTAGTAAAGTAATCCGTAGCAACCAACACAAATCGGTGTCCCTATAAAGATGGAGAATGAATTTGGCCAATGAAGTCTAGCCCACAACCACAAAAAGGCCATGGTTTGATGATAGGATGAAGCATAGCAATAGGCACAAGCTGAATATTTCCAAACTTCTAGCACTCTTCGCATCCTCTGTAGTAACGAAAGCAATCAGCCATCATAGTAGGCCAATAAAAACCGGCTCTACGCAATAACCACTTCATCTTCAGGGTTGATTGATGCGTACTACAAATGCCTTCATGGACTTCTCCTATAGCCATTCTTGTCTGATTTGATCCCAAGCACTTAAGTAGCAAGTCTTCGACGGTTCTACGATAGAGTTCATCATTATGCAACACATACTTGAAAGCGCTCCGTCGAACACTTTTATCAACCTTAGCTCTTGGATCACGTAGATATCTCAATAAGGGAATCCACCAATCTTCTAAATCGACTCCAACATTACTGGAAGTTACATCAGGCCGATTTGGTAGCTTCTCGGGCGAATTGACCAAGCTGGTCACAAGGGAGTCGGCTGAGCCGACTAGGGCAATCGGCTTAGTCGACTTGGAGGTGTCAGCTTGGCCGAGTAGGGTAGTCGGCTTAGCTGACCGGGCTTCAATAGAGAGGGGGTTGGTTGAGCCGACTAGGACAGTTAGCTTAGCCGACTGGTCTACATCTGCAAGGGAAAAATTAAAATTTTCTTGCATCGGTTGTTCTTAAATATGGAAATTACGCCCACCGATGTCATAGCCAGATGCTTGTTGAGCTAGCATGTTGGCCTTTTGATTTTCATGCCTTGGAATATGCCGAATTTGAAATTCGGCAAAATAGTCAATAACATTAAGGCAAGCATCAAGACAAGCTCTTAGTGATCTTTCTAAACATTGAAATTCACCAGTGTTGCTGTACCACCAGCAAGGAATCACCATAGGCTTCAACATGTTTTACTTCCATGGACCGCAACATGATCAACCCGAATAATAAAGCTTCATATTCGGTTTGATTGTTGGTACAAGAATAATACCAACACATTAGTCATCTTTACAAATCGATCCATCAAAGTATAATTTCCATGAAGTAAAAGTAAGATAATTGACTTCATCATCTAAATCAATACCATGCTCAACAATAAAATCAGCAAGAACTTGACCCTTTAATGTTTTCAATGGTTCAAAAGTCAAGTCATATTCTATTAGTGTGTATGCCCGTTTGCCTATCATTCCATGAAGAATTGGCCGATATAACATGTGCTTTATTACATCGGCCAGGCAAACAACAACACATGTACTAGACAAAAAGATAATGCCTCATCTTAGCACAAGCATAGTACAGTGATAAGCACAATTTTTCTATATGGGCATACCTTGTCTCAGGATCAAGAAGACGGCGACCAAGATAAGCAATCACATATTCTTTACATTCGTCTTCTTGAGTCAAAATAGCTCCGATTATCTTCTCTTTGGCAGCAATATATAATTTGAAAGAAACTCCTCTTCTAGGTGCACAAAGAACCGGTGGTGTTGACAAATATTTCTTTATTTTCTCAAAAGCCTCTTGTTGCTTGCCCCCCTAAGTGAATTCAGATTCATCCTTCAGCTTCAATATGGGGGTGAAAGGAATAATTTTCCTGGACAAGTTAGCAATAAATTTTCTCAAGTAGTTCACCTTCCCTAAGAACTTTTGCAAGCCCCTCTTGCATGTAGGTGCCTGAACATTCTTAATATTCTCTATCCTCTTGGGATCAACCTCTATGCCTTTATCATGAATAATAAAGCCTAAGAACTTTCCAGACGATACTCCAAAAGCACATTTGAGTGGGTTCATCTTCAATCCATAGCGGCGCATCCTTTCAAAAGCAAGACGCAAATCGGCCAAATGAGATTTATGGGCAACCGATTTAATCATAATATCATCAATGTATACCTCCATAATCACCCTAATTAGATCATGGAAAATCAAACTCATAGCTCTTTGATAAGTAGCACCTGCATTCTTCAGCCCAAATGTCATCACAACCCACTCAAAGAGACCAACAAACCCAGGACTTATGAAGACCGTTTTAGACATATCTTCTTTGGTCATGAAAATCTAGTTATAACCGGTATTACCATCAAGAAAGCTAATAACCCAGTGTCTTGAAGCATCATTGATAAGCATATAGGCTATAGGCATATGATATTCATCTTTCAGAGTAGCTCTATTCAGATCTCTAAAATCAATACATACTCTGATTTTCCCAGAATCATTCTTCTCAACATGCAAAATATTAGAGACCCACTCCGCATACCTACATGGCTGGATAAACCCCGCTTGCAATAGCTGATTAATCTCTTCTTTAATCCTATCATAAATTGTAGAATTAAATTGGCGGGAGTTTTGCTTGAAAGGCCTGAATCCTTTCTTAATGGGGAGCCGATGCTCAACAAGCTCTCGGCTCAATCCAGGCATCTCTGTGTAATCCCATGCAAAACAATCAACATATTTTTTGAGAAGCGTGATTAACTCAACTCCTTCGTCCAGACTCCGAATTAGATGTTTCATATATGTTTTTTTTACCGTCTCGACGAAAGGAACGCAATGATGAAGTCCGTTCCATATTTTGACAACTTTACAAAATGGACAATTTTGGTTCTCAACACCAGGATTATAATTATCTGAAAACAGCTCGTGCCCAGGATCTGCGTCCGGCCACAGACCGTGGCCGAGGCACTGCCAAATGGACACTGGATACACACCGGGGGCCTCTCTTGTCCCGGCAATCCCGGATGTGCATCTCAGCGACGGCGCGGATCTATTGGTTTGGAAGTGGACGTCCGATGGCAGCTTCACGGTCAGAACAGCATACGCGGCGCTGCACCTTCCCTCGCATCCTGGATGCGCCCTAGTCCAGGACACTTGGGCTCCCCTTAGAGTCAAGCTGTTCCTCAGCCTGTTTGTTTGGCTGTGGCTTGTCGTAAACGATCGTAAATTTCCAGCCGGAATAGTATTTTTCTCACACACAAACTAACCAGCAGTACTTTTTCACGAACCAGCAACGATATGAACCAGCCAACCGAACATGCTCCTGTTGTTGGCACTGATGAAGCGGTACTGGACGGCCGACCGACGACAGTGCCACGGACTCGAGGCAAACGAACTTTGCTTCCTCTGCGACCAAGAACCGGAAACCATCGGCCACGTCGTCTCCTGCTCTTTCGACAAACAAGTTTGGTGGAACATCAGCAATGTTCTGAACCTGACCCAGGGGATGGCGAACCATGACACAATCATTGCTTGGTGGAACGCATGGAGATTGAAGTGGAACGGACCCTGTAGGCGCAGCGCGGACTCCATCTTCGCACTCATCGCCTGGGAGCTGTGGAAGGAAAGGAATGAAAGATGCTTCCGACCCTACTAGCAGTCATCAAGCATGAGGCGGAACAATGGGTGCAGGCCAGCGCTAAGAACCTGGGTTGTCTGCTGTCTAGAGTAATAGGCTAGCATGGATGAGTTCAGTGAGGGTCCGAGCATGTTTCATATTCTTTTGACCCGCGCCTAAGGCGCCACCAAGGCGTGTTGTAAACCAACTCTCTCTGCCTTAATATAAAGATGCGTAAATCTTATGAGTGTTCGAGAAAAATTATCTGAAAAACAATAGCCAAATTAACCATGACAATCAGGAAGGAAGTAAACTAAGACCTGTAAGCATGGAAACTAACAATCAGGCACAATGATCAATGATTACAAGTGTAAGCAGCAAGATAAAATGAAGTGTGGATGCATTTTCCTTTGGCCATTTTCACTTCAAGCGACTCAGATATGTGCCAAACAGCATACAGGTCTGATAGAATTCAAATAATGACAATATCTACAAACTTTGTTATGCTGCCAGTTGGTAATGTCGAATTCCAGAGGCCAAATTGTTTCTGATTCTATCCACTTGCGTATAGCATGTGACGTATACCTCCAGATGGTACTGGGAAAAGTGAAGTAGCAGAAGATGGGATACCAGTCCCGAACAAAGATGCTGCCGGCATGGATTGCAACACAGGCCCGGATGAACTGAAAGGGTTGATTGATGGAGCAGGACTTGTTTGTGTGCTGGATGGAGGCAAAACAGAAGGCAGTGGAACAGTTGGATAAGAGGTTGGAGAAGTTGCTACAGTAGGGAATGGAGTTTGCTGTAGTTGGCTTGCTATCATTGGCGCAGCGACCAGCCTTGTTGGCTGGCCTGGAGGTGTTAGATGCAACATCGGATGGATTATTCTGTCAGTCGCTTCTTGTTTAGCTGCCTCTCTTCTATTTGCCTTGAGAAAAGGATTACTCAAATCACCCCTGCGCCGTCGATAATTCAGATACTGAGTTTCCATTGTTTCAACATACTGATGAAAATGTTCCACCTGGACAAACAGGAATATAAGTTCAGCATAAACGAACACATGCCAAGATAAGTAGTTTCCAAACAGGACCTTTCTTGTTTACAGTATATTATAGGGGAGAAAACACAATGCACAGAAAGGATTTAACTTCCTGATTGCAGTTCTGATACAAAGTAATATCAGGCCACATTTTTATCAGAATTGCAAACAGGAAGTTATAAAGATGGACAGGAGCTAGCAACTCTACGAAAGGAGGCTCAAAATGGAAAGTAACATAAATAGCTGTGAGTGAGACTTCGCATTCCCTGCAGGGACAAGTTTATTATAAATTCGTAGTGATTGAAGAAGAAGTTGATATGTGAACTTTGTTAGCATGATAGAAAAATGCACTGTTAAGTTCTGAAGTATCTGTGATGGCTAGCATTTCGTGCAGGACTTACCTTAGACGCCACATGGATTAGATAGTCATGGACATTAGACATAACATTTGACAGAGATTCCAAAGATTCTGCAAAGGTCTTGCCATCCTTCATTTGGACAAGTTGCTCTAGTTCTAGAATCCATTTGCAGCATTCACCAAGATCATCCTCAAACCTGGCAACTGTTTGTTGCACAAAAGGAGAAGGCCGCCTGGTAGCACTACTATAACAATGAAACCTTGGTGTCATGGTTAAGAGCTGATGGAAATCAGTCTGAGCACCAGAAGATCCAGAGTGATTTGAAAAAAACAGACTTTGCACTTTCAGCGCTTAGATAGACAAACCTTGGCCTCAACTTTGCATATGAACATATAGCAAATTCTGTGTTCCACATAATTTCTTGGATAACAGTCATTAAGCTATCAATGGAATTCTTATCTCTATTCATGATGGTAGAGATAGATGCAGCCTCCTGTTACATGAAGAAAACAAATCTTGCTATGACAAACAGTCTCTCAAAATTAAAAATGCTACTTTAACTAGCAGGATTAACAAATTGTGTGAAAACAACCAATATTTTCAAGCAACGATTCATTAAGAGTAAGTTCCAGGGAAACAAAACTATCCAAAAAGGAGCCAGAACTCTGTCGAACATTCCAATCATTCAAACAACGTTACACCTACTTTAAAAAAAAACAATGTTACACCAATTACTTCACATTATATGTTTCTAAGTGTCGTAGTCAAACTTAAAAAAAATGTCTATGTCGAAGAAAGCATTCAAGCGATGTCAGTGCCAACTCTAGAATTAGGTAAAGACAACTCTATCAGTGAAATTCAGATTATAAAATATACATGCAGTAGTAAACTAAGTTATGAAGGCAGAACTATAATTGAGGTGATGTCAAACATGCAATTGCAAATGAATATGCTGACAACATTTAATAGCACAGATAATACACTGATCTGTGAAGGCTGCAACATAGGAGTATACTGAAGTTACTACTCAACAAAACATGCATTGCAGATTGAACAACTATTAAAGGAAGTGGTAAAACCGACCTGAGTAATCTGATTAGCATCGAGTTCAAAACTCATGTTGCACAGTGATAGGTCATCAAAGCGTCTGCATTGATCCAACTGCTCACTATCATCCCTATGCTCCCTAATTCTGTCCCTGAAATCACACAAGAACAAGGTGGGGTCATAGGGCTGTTAGCACAGATCACATAGAAAGACGTGCGGTGAAAGTTTGATCGAAGAAAATTGAATCGAGATCTATCCCAAGATCTTCGAATTCACCACCACAGCCTTGTGGAAACCCCCAGGTCAAAACTCACAACAGTAGCAAACAAACACACGAAACAAATTCGGCAGGAAGTTTCATAAACAAAAGGGCAAGGAATGCACACAGTATGACCAAAGAACACCCGCAATTCTGTTCTAGACCTCACTATGCGCCCTATATTCATTGTACTGAAGAAAAGAAATCAATAACATAATGCAGCCCAAGGAACCACAATTCTGATCTCAAAAATCACAATGTGCCTTCCATTCACCATACTGAAGAGATCACGAGCACAATGTGGCCCGAGAAGGCCACAATTCTGATCGCAACAAAACAGCGCGTCCCCAATTCGTCGAACAAAACAAATAATGAAACGCCTCTGTCACCAATCTCTCAAGTCTGTCACCAATCTCTCAAGTCTCATGCTGCAGAAGTAGAACAACAGGCAAGAATGCAGAGGGAGCCATACTCGATTTGAAGCAGCAGACCCTGGGAGACCGGGTGAAGCTCGTCCCACTTGGTCTCGTAGCTGGCGGCACGCCCGTCCACCGTGTACAGCATCAGCTGCTGCGACGCTAAGGCTTGCTGCAATCCCGCCTCCGCGGCCAATGCCTGCTGGCGTTGCCGCTGATACTCCGCAAACGACGCGTGCTCTTCCTCATTCCACCGCTGCTCCAACATCCTCTCCGCCGCTGCCGCTGCCGCCTCCTGCGCTTGCTGAGATTGCGACTGCGCGGGAGGAGCGAGGGCAAGCCAAGTCTCCACGGACGCACCGACCGTCGGCGCCGGCCACTGATACTCCGCAAATGCCGCGCGCTCTTCCTCGTGACGCCGCTGCTCCAACATCCTCGTCGCCGCTGCCGCCTCCTGCGCTTGCTGAGATTGCGACTGCCCGGGAGGCGCAAGGGAAAGCGAAGTCGCCACGGGCGCACCGACCGTCGGCGTCAGCGTCTCTCCCAGCGCCGGGTATAGCGCCCCGGTCGTCCGCGGAGATGTCGGAGGAGGCGTCGGTTCCTCCTCGGGGCTCTCGTCGATCGTCGGGAGAGGCGGGGCTCCTCGGGGACGAGGGGGAGTAGGCGCCACGGTAGCTGAGGCGCCTGCACGCGGCCTGCAGGTCGGGGTCCAGGTTGAGGTCCAAGGCGAGGACAGGCATGGCGGTTCGTTCCCGAAAGGCGGAAAGGGGAAGAAGCTGGGGGAGAAGGCGCGGCCGGGTGGGCGGAGTGGAGTGGACGGATCTGTCCTTCTAGTGTGCGTTTCGTCGAAGGAGGTAGTAGGATGCGATAGGACGATCATGATATATGTTCGGTAAGATCGGTGGAGTGGACTATGGGGCTGTTCGGCTGGCTGGCCGGTGGCTGGCTGGTTGCCCAGCCCCCTCACGAATCACTGTTTACGTGAACAGTGATTTTAGCTAGAACAGTATTTTTTTTCACAATAATCAGCTGGAACAGTATTTTGGTTTATTTTTAAGTCTTGCCGAACCGTCCATATTTTTCGTTTCGTTGGATGGATAAAAATAGAAAGGATAAAAATAGTTTACTAATTATATCTATTATTTTAAAATAATAACAACTAATTAGACACTGATAAATATATACTAATACTAATTTTATAATGATAATCACTAATTTAAAATAAAATATGTTAATTAGCACCACTAATATCCTAATTAGCGTACGAAACATGCACTAATCAACGTATTAACACTTATCAAAACTAATATTATCATCATAATTACTAAATAATAATATAACATACTAATAATCCTTAATTTATTTACTAATGACAGAGATTAGAAGACATGGATAAGCTGGTCCCCGAGATTTTTACGAACCAGAAAATCCAGCATCTCATGATATATTCTCTGTCCAGGGATTTTCTTATCCTAGTGATCCAGCAAACCAAACACTACCGATCCATGGATGCTCCCATCCCATCCATGAAAATCCAACTAACCAAACACACTCATAGCCGCGCGAGAGCTTGTAGGCTGTGGATAGCTGGGCCGGGTCGAAGTGGGGTTTCGCGGAAGGGTAGGGGTATTTTGTTTGTTGCCCTGGGATGTTGGGACTTGGCACTGGCCAGCTTGCCAATGCCCAATGGGCTGGTGCGGCGAGGCCACAGCGCGGTGGTGGTGTTGCCCACGGTCAGGGCATGGCCACCGGCAGCGGCGACGTACAGGGAACAGGGAGGGCAGCCCTTAGCGGGCTGAGGCAATCGGCGAGCACGCCGAGCAGGAAGACGAACACGGTGATTTTAACATTTTCCGACCGGTAGTGCTGATAGCTTTCCCGTTTTGGGCCAGCAATAGTTTCATCATTTACGAGTGTTTTCATGCCTCCCTCCCCACAACTCAAGGGATTGCATGGAGAACGACCCATTTTTCAATAAATCAAACTAACAGAAAAAACGCAGTTAAGAGATGTAAGCAGAATTACCATTAGAACATTAGCCGCAAACTGATTCTAAAACCAAGTGGAATTGTCATCATCATCAACATCACCATCATCAGCAGCACCATGGCCATAATCATAATCACCAGGAGCAACAGCAAAATCGTCATCACCATCATAATCGTCGAGGCTGTGATCACCATCTTCGCCACCACCATTAGTGGCAGTCCTAGTGCAACTAATAGGCATTAGCGGTAGTCATCATTTTTTGTCGTATCTAGTAGTATTGTAGTGCTAGTGCAACTAATAGGCAATAGTGGTAGTCATCATCATCGCCATCTAGTCGTATTATAGTGCTAGTCCAGCTAATAGGCATTAGTTGTAGTCATCATGATGATCACCAGGCATGTGATACTGGTAGTAATATAGGTACTATTACGTGTATTGTTGCTAGAGTGGTATCCAAAACATTGATGATTTGTTGATTGCTTGTAAAAGGTCAAAAATATAGTGGGAAAACGGAGTATTGTTTAAAAAGAGTAAAAGATGACAGTTAACATGTGGGTAAATAGTTCAAACTTCAAAATATATTGGCTAGCAATGTGGTAGCAATAATAGGCAGTAGTGGTAATATACTAATAGCACTGGTAGTAATATTAGTGAAGTCGTGGGAGTGCGATTAAGCTTAGGATAGCATGGCCATCATCATTGGCATCATGGCCATAATCATAATCACCATAAATGGCAGTGCCAGTGCAACTTGAAAGGATCAAGATGCCTAAGAGGGGGGTGAATTGGACTAATTCTAAATTTCTTTGCAATAATTAAAACCTACGGTTAGCCCAATTAATCCCTTGTGCCTAAAAAGTGTTTCTAGTTATTCTATCGTACAAAAGACTTGCAACCTAAGTTCCACTCCTACTCTAGCATGACAATTCTATGAATTGTAAAAACAAGAATTGAATTGCTCAATGTAAATGCTCAAAGTAAATAGAGAGGGAGGAACGCGGCGATGTTTTGCCGAGGTATCGGAGAGTCGCCACTCCCCACTAGTTCTCGTTGGAGCACCCGCGCAAGGGTGTAGCTCCCCCTTGATCCGCGCAAGGATCAAGTGCTCTCTACAGGTTGATTTTTTGACACTCCGTCGCGGTGAATCACCCACAACCGCTCACAACTTGAGTTGGGTCATCCACAAGCTCTCCGGATGATCACCAAGCTCTCCAATCATCACTAAGCCGTCTAGGTGATGGTGATCACCAAGAGTAACAAGCACGAACTCTCACTTGACCACAATAAGCCTAGGGAGAAAGATGGATGCACACTTTGCTACTCTTGATCTCTCTAATGAGGGCTCTCTTTAGGATTCTCAAATCTCAATCACCTCACTAGGACCTTGCTCTTTTTGGCACTCTCTAAGGTGTGTTTCAGTTGTTGGAATGAGCAAAAGTCACTCCACACACGAGTAGAACTTCTATTTATAACATGGGCTGAAAAACGAACCGTTATGTGCCTCTGCGGGGTGATCAAACGCTCCGGTCATGTTGACCGGACGCTCCGGTCAGTTCAACCCGCACACCAGTGTTTAAGTGTTGACCGGACGCTGGCAAGGTCCGATCACCACTGACCAGACGCGTCCGGTCACAAATATCCCTCACTAGAACCTTACTGGAGTCGACCGGACGCTGGTCTTCAGTGTCCGGTCACTCGACCACTCAGCGTCCGGTCATGCCAGACGCAATCTCCTTGGTCAAATGAACTGACCGGACCCTGCAGCCATCGTCCGGTCATTATTTGACCCTCCATTCACTTCCAACTCTCGATCATATGTGAATGAAGTTTACTCCATAGGATCTAAGGGCTTTGTTGGAGCTACCTAGTGCTAGACTTAGCAAGTGTGCACCCCACCTAACTCACTAGACTCACCTAGGTCCATACCCCCCTTAATAGTACGGCCAAAGGAAAAACAAAGTTCTAAACTACTCTAAGTGTCTCTCAAACTCCAATCGACACTTAGAACTAGTCATCCTTAACCTTGTCGTCCATCCTTTGAAAACCGAAACGATTTCCATCGTAGGGGCATGACATCCATGATTGCCCAATCGATCTCCATTACCATGACCTAACTTTTTATCTCTGCAAAACACACGTTAGTCATAGTAATCTTGTATTGTCATTAATCACCGAAACCCAACAAGGGGCCTAGATGCTTTCAATCTCCCCCTTTTTGGTGATTGATGACAATACCACCTCGAGTATGTGAAAGAGTTGAGGTTTTTAACATGCTTGGATCATATAGGCTTTTGTCAATAAGAACAAAGGTGTTAGTCAAGTTTATATGAACCAAGCCAACATGATGTACTCGAAAGATATGAAATAAACATGAGTACAAGTAATAAAGCTCATTTGCATCGGAGTAAAACGCGGAAGCAAAGGCAAATGAGCATAACACAAGTGATATGACATATAAATAATTCAAAGTATAGAGCACACATGTCATATATCACGGTCACGTAGATATCACTATCACATATACAAAGTTCAATGCATGAAAGTAAACACATGAATGCATAATAGTAATAGTGTATCACACAAATAAAACTCCAAATGTATGTAATAGACTAATAGCTAACTAGACACCCCCTAAAAGTCGCTCCCCTGAGTCTACATACTCGAACCCTCTCCCTATTTGGCGTCAAACACCAAAACCTAAGGGCCGATCGGCGGGGCTGCAGCGGACGAGTTGGGCGCTGAAGTACGAGGAGCAAGCTAGAACTGGGCGGCATCATCATCTGACCCTGAGCTCTGTGCTGACTGACCCTCTGTGGCTAGAAGCGTCGCTGAAGCGGTCTGGGTCTGAGCTGGGGTAGGTGCTGCCTGTGATGCTGCTGGTATGTCTGTCGTAGGATCTGAAGATGCAACAAAAGAAGGGAGCCTCTGAGTAGTCACGACGACGAGAGCTGCTGTAGAAGGACCTGGGGCATGCATATATGGCGGTGTAGGCATCCCTGTCAACTCGCTAAAAGATACTCCAAAACTCCTGGAGACTGACGTGTCAGGCACAAATAGCGAGGGTGACTGATCCGGTGTGAAGCTCGTCTGAAATAGTGTGAACTGCGGGGCTACCACTGGCGAGGATAACCACTAGGACACCTGTACTGTGGGAGAAGCAAACTGAGCTGGAGGTTGTCCCTGACTTTGAAGTCCACTGGGATGTACTACTGGAGTCGTCATAGTGGTAGCAGGCTGACCAATCTGGGGTGAAGGCTGTGGCTGTGGGGCTCCAATGGCTGTCACTACATGCTACATGAATCCCAAAAGGTGATGCTGCATGAGTAACTGCTGCTGATGCATCTGTTGTTGCTGCTGCTGCTGGAGGACCTACTGCTGGCGCTGGAACTCGTCCTGACGAGCCTGAAACTGTTCGAAGTTGGCAGCGGTCTCCTGAGCCTATCTAGCCTGATCCTGCTGCATCCGCTCAAGGATAGCAATCAAAGCGGGGTCCGTCTGCGGTGCAGGTGGAGCGGAGCTAGACCTGTCAGTCTCTGCATCATGTCTGTGTGGAGGCATCCAAGGAATAGGCTGGTAGTCATCGTCTGAGCTATCACTAGGCTCGCTCACCTCCTGTTGTGCCTCAAGCTGCTGCTCCTCAGTAGCGGCTATGCCTCTGATAATCTCGTCCTGCTGAGCTACGGACTCTGGTACATCTGGACGACGGCAAGGCTGAGTGGGTGCCTATGGTGTGCTATGCCTGATCCTCTGTGCCATGTTATAAGCTAGAAACTCTGTGGTGGCACCTCTGTACTCTACAACCATCTCTGGTGTCCTAACTTGCACAGCCTTGAGAATAAGGAATGTGATCCAATGTGCATATGGAAGCTGTCTACGACCCTTGAAGCCCTCAGCTATAGTATCCTCCATCTCTGATAGAAGGAGGTCCCAAATATCAAACACTGTCTGCTGCATCAGGGCGTTGAGGAGCCAAAGTTGTAGGTGAGTCAAGCCCTCTCTGTATCCCATCCTGGAAAGTAGTGTCCTCCTTATGATAGCCTCTAGCACTCTAGCCATAGGAGTAAGGTCACTGGGGTTCCTCCTCGACCCCTCACCAAAGGGCTCCTTGAAGCAATGGCGCACAAGATCTGTAGGGGGCACCATACCACCATGAGGACGCCTGGGAGGCTCTTGCTGTCCATAACATACCTCATATAACTTGACAGGCTACTCTTGTAGCCTCAGTATCTCCCTGGCCCTCTGACTCATCATCCTGTAGTCTCTGCCTCTGAATGCAAAGTGTATAAAGTTATGATGCGAGTCAATGTAGAGCGAAGCATAGAACTGCCGAACCCAAGATGGTACATACAATCCTGTCCGGCCAATCAGATCTGTTAGCCCCGGTAGATATGCAAGGTAGGGGCGAATGTGCTCTCCAGTTGCTGCGACTATAGCCTCTATGCTACAGACTCTCTAAGATCTGAAGACTGCTTCGCTGTTCAGATAGGCATTATAAAAATCCTCCTGCAGTGGCGTGTAGAAACCCTCTGCTGCTCTCTCATCCCTCCTAGGTGGAAACCACACATCAAACTCCACGAAGCAAAGCTGCTGAACCTGCTTGGCCATGGCGGCCCTCAAGTCAAGGTGGGTCACTGGAGGCGGACCCTGTGGTCTAGGCGGTGGCCTCGATCCCCTCCGCTGTGTCGGTGGCCTCGGTGAGACTGGAACACGGCTATGACCAGAGCGGCGTAGCTGGGGCTGTGGTGCCTGCTCTGTCTCCTCGGCCTCCTCGGCCTGCTCACCCTCCTGGGTCTGCTCTGCCGGCTCTGTTGGCTGGGGCTGCTGCTGGGACTCCCCCTAAGGCTGACCCTCATCAATAGTATAATGTTGTCCTATAACAGTGACAGTCCCAGGTGGACTACCAAGAAGGCGCTCACCTCGCTCTATCCCAGCCCTTGCTTCCGATGAAAGCGGCGGATCTGCAATCACAACCCCACTACGAGCACCTCCTCTCTCGGCACGCTCTGCGGCCTCTGCAACTGCTGCTGCTCAAGCTGTCTCTGCATCTAGGTACTTCCTCTTCTTGGATGCAATCTTCTTTGTCGCCTTGCCTTTTGGATCTGCAGGCAGGCGAGGCGGGGGCCTCCGATCATCATCTCCAGGACCACCTCCTACATTCTTGGTGCGAGCCATCTAATCTGACAAGAGAAACTACCGCTGACAAGATCAACTGTCCATTGACACTTTTGAGGCTTGGCCTC